ATTAGCCACATTCACCTGTTTATATTTACTTTAATATAAGCTTTAAGTAATTAAAATTAAACAAAATGAAAACAAAAATAAAATAAATCAAGTTTTTTCCCCACTTATATATTTTTCTTTATGATGCTATGATTCAAATTGAACTCTCAGTTGTACAAAACAATCTCAATATTTAAACCGATGCATTAGAAATAAATTTCATTTTAATTACCTAAACAATTTGTTGTTAGTATGAAATTATTTTAGCATGTCGTTTCTCCTATTCTGTACCTATTCTGGCAACCCTTTTGTTTGGTTTAATTAACAGCAAAACAAATGCATTAATATTAACAATTAATAATATTCTCGATTCACTAACTAAGCCACCTTGTTATCAGGGAAATCTTTGAAATCATTAGGGAAAGCTTATGTGTATGTCCTGGGTTCAGCATAAGCTACTGAGAAAAACATGCCTTGTAGACTCGTACACAAATTTCATCATGTTTGTATTTCCTTTATTATTTACAGATCTATTTATTATTCAAAATAATTAAGCAAAACTATAATATTCAATAATTCGAATAAACCCATACTAATAATTTATATCGTACACCACAAGAGCATTTTGCGTGAGTTGCTAGAAAAAAGTAGAGACGAAAGGTTACGACTTATCCTCTTTAACACCCAAATTCGTCCAATAACCAAATTTTATATTAGGAACTTATACAATAACCTACCAAGCAGGGCACATTATGTCGTAAGAGTTGCCTGTTACTTGTTCTTTTCAATATTAAACACTAAAAAATTAAATATTATTTAATTCGAAATGATTAATTTATACGAAAGCATCTACTTTAATTCTCTTTATTATTAATTAAATAATAGCTCTGGGGCGTGGCAATCGAAATAATGAAGCAGAAATTCAAACAAAATTCAAACAAATCATTTATTACCGTTTTTTATTAATCATTTTTACCAACTCTTAGGTGTTTGAATTTAGAAAAATACTTCAATAAAAAGAAGTAAACGTCACAAACTGTCGATCGTTCCTATCTACTGATCCTAAACGTAAATGTTGTTCACACCAATATCTTTCTTCATTTGAATATGCTCTTGGGAACATAAAGAATTTCGTTAGAATAATAGATGTTTTGTTTAAGAAACAAGCTAAGAACTAATTCTAAGCTTTTATATATCGGTTTCAACTAGCAATCACATGTTTATAAGCTACTAGTAGATGACCCGGCAAACTCTGTTCCGCCTTAAAGGCAATAAATAAGCAGTTTTTTTTTAATTGGAAAAAATAAAAAAAAAAAAAAAAATACCTACATTAATCATTCATAATTTATTTGTGTATTTTAGTACACATCGCAAATTATCTATTTGTTGACCTCTGTTGTTCGCTCGACCTTCAGTCCTTAAATTTGCAGTATTTCGTATTCTTCTTGCATTACGGCTTTGTCGGGAAAGATTCGATCGTCTTGGTCGTGGCATTATTAAAAAACTAAAAACTCAAATTTTCAACCATACCATACATTATAATTGTTAATTATTTATTTTGTTGAGTTTGCAACAACCAGGTAGTTTTATTGATTAAAAACGATATTTATTGCAACACAAACTTATATTGATCTAATACAACTTTTAAAAACACATTAACTAAGTTATATTTCTATCTGTTAAATTTTAATAAAATATTTTCTTATATCAAAAATTTGATAATTTCAAAACCTACTTTGTCGTGAACGGGATAAACGGGTATCCTATGTCCTTCTCCTGGCCTTAAACTACCTCCCTGCCAATTTTCAGCTAAATCGGTTCAGCCGTTCTTGAGTTATAAGTGGTGTAACAATAACACATCTTTCTTTTATATATATAGAAGAAGAAGAAGATTATTTTATGAAACATGAACAAAAACATTCCAAAGATTCCAGAACCAATCTAACTATAAAAACATGTTAAAAATCAAATATAGAATGTTTAGTTGATTAGAACCTGGTACCGATTTTTGACATATATTTTGACTGAAATTATATGACTATTTATTTTGTACTACACATCAGGAATGTTGAGTAACATCTACGGAATTATGGATTTTATTTTCAAAAAAATAATGTTTATGTTTCTTTTCCTAATCTTAAAAAGATTTTAGTGCCACCAGCCACCCAAAGTTTAAAGCTTAACTCAATAATAAAAGTAGTTGCGAACATGCTAATTTGGTATAAAGATAGAAAAGAAAAGGAACGAATGGAGGGATTTAAAGGCCACAGTTAAAGTAATCAGAACCGCTGAGTATAGACACAACTATCATCAAATGTGGATGCTATACGGAACCCTCCGGGTCACACTGGAATTTTTAGGCAATGAATTGCATATAAACTAACTATAGTAGAGGCAGTCTCGCTGCTTGTTGGTCCGGAACCATTCTGTAGGTCTGATATCGCATAAGGAAATAAAACTCTGCAAAGTACATATAATACAAAAATTTATAGAATTGCAGAAATGCTCTAAGTCTATGAAGGTGAGCTCAATATATCTCTAGGTTGCAGTGCAACTTCCGCTACCATAATATTAATAATAAATCTTATGATTATGGCTTTCCCAATTCAAAGTAATCTAAAATTTCATATTTGCTTTCAGAACTAATAACAAATATTGGGAAAACCAATAAATGTTAAAGTTTAATAAATCCTTGAAAGAAGTGACAGTTTTCAAAACAAAATTATGTAGTATATATATAAACTAATTGCAATTCTGACTAAAAACAATTAGCATACTCTTTTTGACGTAAAATATATGGAAGCAAAAGGCATTTATAATATTCAGGCAATACCAATTTAACCTATTTGAAGTCCATACCAAAGACTTCCATTCCGTATTTAATCCTCATTAAATTTCTATTTTCTTCTTTTTCTGAAATTAATTACTTCTGTTAAATGGGAGTGCTTTTTATTTTTTCCACTTCTCATTGATTTTTTTGCT